CGTCATCTGAGGAGACGTCGGAGGAGGAGCAGGCGAACAAGAAGGTGGCCGACAAGAAGGAGTCGGCCGAAAAGCCGAAGAAGGCGGCAAAGGCGACGAAGAAGAAGGAGGCCGACGACGGTGGAGACAAGGGGAACGGGAAGGGGTCGAAGAAGCCCAAGGCCGCCTCCAAGAAGGAGGCCGAATCGGACGGCTCCTCTTCGTCCGGTGGTGAGGGCGGCGACGATGATAAGAAGTCGAACAAGTCCCAGAACAAGGAGAAGGAGGCCGGCAAGGGCTGCTGCATCATGATGTAGGCCAGGACTACCGACGTCGGCTCTTCCATCAACGACGAACAGCCGCGAGCTCGGCAGTCAGTCAGAATACGACCGCCCCACGATCCTCGCGTTGGCCCTCCTTTCTTCACCTCTCCCTCTCTCATGTTTCATTAGTTCGAACTTGTGTGTTGTCATGAGCATGGCAACCTCATCCAATCTCAAACAAGAAGGATTCTTGCTTTACACCTCTTTCCCATCATCAGCACTCGGTACTACAGTACCATCACAGTCCCAGTGGCGTCGGAGTCAAGGCGAAAAAAAAACCCGCCTTGAACCCACAATACCTGGGGCTGGGGAGAGGGGTAAAGCGCGGAGCGGGCGAGCAGGAGTCTTTGTAAGTTTTCTATTTTCCAACACTCTGGTTTCCCACCAGCCGCGTCGTTGTGGCGCGGGAGGGTGCAATGTCAACCATCAGAGGAGACCAACAAACTCGACGGGAAAATAAGCCGGGAACGGCGGCCTGACCCTGTGCCGCCGATCTGTGCAATTTCCTCGCCACATCTACCAACAACACAAAAGAAAGACGAAGCGAAAAGCGAAGAGAAGTTTTGCTTGGAGTGGTGTTGCCCTGACGACGCTGGTACTCAGCGTAATAATCAGCGAGAAATCACTGATGAACAGAAATAAATTCATTCGAGAAATTTTAGACTTTTCCTGGTGGGCGGAAGGGGCGAAGTTCAACAGTTAAACAACACAACAAGGAGATGCAACGGCACGGCAGAATGGCGAGGACACCCACATCGGCAGCATCCTTTATGCGCGGGTATTCGGCGCTCGCGTTCCCGGCGCGGACCCTCCACACTTCATTGCCTGCTGCTTTACGATCATCTGCGATGAATCGCGTGGTGGTCCCCTCCACCGCATCAGGACCCTCCTGTACAACTGTGCCTTCTCTTGGCCGCGTCCGAAGTCGGTGTGTGCCATCTGCGCTGTCGATCGGAACGAGATTCGTGCCGGCATCATCGACGTCAAGGCGGGGAACCGCTTCTGCCGCCGCGCCCCTTCAAGATCTACACCCACAGACTCATCCTATGGCTCCCTCCGCCTCCACTTTTGATACTACCCCCGTCTCGCTCATTTTGGACACGGCTAGTGCCACGCGAGCCGTGCCATCCACACAGACCATTCTGCTCTCCGACAGGGCAAAGAAGGTGCGTGTCCCATCTCCTCAACGTTCGGTTTTCTACGAATTCAAGCGAACGTCGCGCTGATTGCTTTGACGATTATTTATTCACACTATGTATTTATTTCTTCGTTTGTTTGTTTGTGTAGAAGCTGCGTGGGCTCACGTCCAAGCGCGAGGGAGGAGCCATACTGCGCGTTGAAGTGCAGAGCGGCGGCTGTTCCGGCTTCTCCTACAAGTTCACTGTAGAGGACAGGCCACTCACCGAAGAAGACATGTACCTACCCTCCTCCTTCCCCACTGTACTGTGCTGCACACGCGACCACTTAGTTTGACGCTGGGAGAAAGAGTGCTTACTTTGCGGCGTGCGTGCAGACTGATCGAAGAAGAGGGTGCACGAGTGGTGGTGGACGATGTGTCGCTACCCTTGATCAACGGCGCGACGCTCGACTGGGACGAGAAGCTGATCGGCTCCAAGTTCCAGATGCTGGCCAACCCACACTCGGCCGGCGAGTGCGGCTGCAAGTACTCCTTCACGCCGAAGGACTGACCCAGCCGCGCGCAAGGACCACTTGCTTCTGCGTTCTTTAAAAAAAACACTAAAATATGTATAAACTCCCCACCAACGCTAGCGAAGAAGAAGAATGCAGCGCTGAAAGAGAGCCACCATCAAGGTGGATGAAGCTGAAGCGGAGTCTGTTTGGCTGGACTCAACAAGACTGAAACAAAAAGAATTCCGGCTGCCCGGACTCGAACCAGGAACCGATAGATGACTACCGAGGTGAGCATCAAGACTACAGTCTACCGCGCTACCAATTGCGCCACAGCCGGTTTTGCTGACCGTGCCTGTAGACGACTAGCAGCTGAACCCAGTTGTGATCAGACAAAACAGAAAAAGGGTTGCTGGGCCGACTTCACAAGCGACCACGAGCTCAAAGGCGGGAGAGAGAGAGATGTTTAACCGTAGGGACCCGGCGCCGTCGCCCCTCATAACGGGCGCGCAGCTGTATGATGTGCTACGAAGCAGCACCGAAGGTTCGGCCTGGTCTCTTCCCCCCCCCTCCCCTCTCCCTCTACCATTACTAAGGCAGCGTTTGGCCCTTCCATCAGGCGAAGAAGAGGACCTCTCCTTCGTCAAGTCCTACCTCCTCTTGTCCTCTTCGGTATATACCATTATTTAATCTTCAATCACGGCACTATTTTAGTATATTAATATTTCTTCGGCTTGCACAGTCGTCGGTACCGGGAAGTGCGTACCCAGAACCCGCCGCGTCCGAGCGGCACGGTGGCCGCCTTGTGGCAAAGCCCAAGTACAAGTCCCTTGACGCACGCGCACGCGCACGCGCACGCACACAAACACTAACTTGGCTTTCGTGGGGCTCCACCTCACCTGGGATCCTAGCTCGGCAATCAAGCGCCGGCCGCAGCTCCAGCCGGGCTTCGCGCCCTCGTCGCTCTTCTCGTCGGACAACATGCGCAACTCGACGCGTCTCGACGGCATGCGCAACTCCAGCGTGGGGCTGTCGCTCTCCTCCTCCGGCGCGTCGGCTCCGCCGCTCCGCGTGTCGCAACTGGTCAACCATGTGCGTTTGCGTGCCCACAACCAAAGACGCGCACACGCACGCAATACGATACATAACACACGACACGACACGACACGACACGACACGACACGACACGACACGACACGACACGACACGACACGGCACGGCACGACACGACACGACACGACACGACACGACACGGACACGACCAACGACACGACACGACCAACGACACGACACGACCACGACACGACACGCACGGCACGGCACGCGCGACACAACACGGGTGGGGTGCTGAATGCCTTTGCCTTGCTGCCGCAGGACCAAGTGGGGGGAGACGCCGACCTGCGCGTGTCGGCGGTGACCAGGCAGGTGAACTCGCTCCAGCAGGTCCTAGACGAGGGGCAGGCGGGCGGCTTCAGCTCGGCGCAGTCCAACGTCATCAGCATCCACCTCGGTACTTGCCGCACCCACGGCCCCTGCCGCCCCGCAATTGCTCACGTTCCTCCGCATACCAGGCAACATATTCGAGATGCAATCCAAGCTCACCGTTCTCATCAACCAGTACATCGACGACCCCGAGGTGCGTGTGTCGTGTGTGTCGTGTGTGTGTGTGTGCGTCGTTGTGTCGTGTGTGTCGTGTGTGTGCGTGTGTGTGTGTCGTGTGTTGTGCGTGTTGTGTATGAGTCGGGCCTCACGAGCGCTGTCGATGCTAATAGCGCCTGGCAACGTTCCTGCTGCTGCACGAGAGCATCAGCGATGCCATCCAGTCCTACGAGGCCACCATCGCCGCGTACCTCCCCTCCCAATCAGATTGCACACCACGGGCGGTCTGCCGGAATTTATTTATTTTTTATTTCTAACCACAGCCAGTTCGGGGACGACGACGAGCCACCCCCGCGCGAGGACGAGGTCGAGCGCGAGCACGCCCAGTGGGCGAGGCAGTTCTCCGATACAGACGAAGAACAGTCGACTGAAAAGGAAGAGGAGGAGGAGGAGGAGGAGGAAGGTTCGTCATGCGCGTAACGCATGCACACGGCACACGGCACACGGCACACGGCACACGCACCACGCACACGCACCACAGCACACGGCACACGCACCACGGCAGGGCGCGACGTTCAGCAATCTTCGACGCAGACCGTCGTCCTGACCCCGTGCGGCGTGGGTGCTCGCAGATGACATGAACGACGAGGACGAGGACCACGAGGGTTCGGAGGAGAAAGAGTGCGTCATCTGCATGGACGACTTCTGGTACCAGCCCCCCTCCCGACATTCTCCCAAGGCCGCAGAATTCCATTCACGCGGTAATTGACTGCTTGGTGCAGGTGGCCGGGCAAGCGCGGCTACGAGCTCAAGTGCGGCTGCCTCTACTGCAAGCCCTGCCTGCGCAGCAACTACGACGTGTACCACAAGCTCCCAAGTCTCCTTTCCCTCATTTTCTCCTTCTCATTTCTTTGTTTCTTTCTTTGTGTCTGATCTATCAGGCTGATCAACGACGGCCAGGTCCTCAAGCTGACCTGCCCCAACCCCACCTGCGCCGCCCCCGTACGCGCTTCACATTCCAATAATAATAATAACAATAACAATAATAATAATCACTAATCTAACTTGCTCTCCCAATGTAAATGTAGGTGGACGAAGATGACCTGAAGAACATCCTGACCAACAAGCAGTTCTTGCGGTACCAGCAGTTCTTCCTGCTGGCCTCGCTCCGCAACGATCCCACCGTGCGCTGGTGCCCCCGGTACGTGGTGTTCGTGGCGTGGACCGGTGAAGTGGACCACTTCACGAGCCGCCAGCGGCCTACTCTAACCCACTGATGTGGCCCACAGGGTGGGCTGCGAGACCGCGGAGCACGGTTCCGAGGAGGACTGCCACATGACGTGTTCCAAATGCTGTACCGCGCCACCTCCTTTTTTTGTATCGTGTGCGGTGGTGCGTGTGCGTGTGCGTGTGCGTGTGCGTGTGCGGTGGTGCGTTGTGCGTCATCGACGACTCAAACTGAAGACTTCCTGGGCCTGGGGTGAGGCAGCGACCGAGTTCTGTTGGAAGTGCAACCTGGAGTGGCACCCGGGCATCACCTGCGACCAAGCCAAGGTTCAAGCCCAAAAGGGCAAACAGAAAGTCACCCGACAGGAAAAGAGGGTTCGTTTCTCTTCGCTCTTCGCTCTTCTCTCTTTTGGCCTTGCTTGTCTTATTTCTAGATCACACCCAGACGACATACCAATCATTCTTTAAAATGTAACTGTATATATGGGAATATCTTTATTTATATATGGTTAAACAAACCGGACAGGCGGAGAAATACATCAAGAAGCACTCGCGGCCATGCCCGCAATGCCTGACACCCATCCAGAAGAACGAAGGGTGCGCGCAACCTCCCCCCCCACGATTTTGTGTGATCGCACCGACACCTCTGTGCCCCAGACTAACCTCTCTCCACGACACACGTCACACAACCAACACAGATGCAATCACATGATACGCCCCCCCCCCAAATGCTCTTGCTTGTAGTTGTCGTCGTCGTCGTCGTCGTCGTAGTTGTTGTTGGTGTTAACTCGCTCTTTGTACATATCCAACGTTCGGCTCAACACACGTGCAAGGGCTGTCAACGTACGTCATTTTCATTGCCCCGAGGCCTCCAGGGAGGGGCTCGTGACTCTATGATCATAGTCAGCTGCTCACACCGCTTTGTTTCGATCGATCTTTCCCCCCCCCCCACGGGCGCAGATCAATTTTGCTGGATCTGCATGGAGACCTACACCCCGGTGCACTACTCGGAGGGCAGGTGCGCCGGCCTCCAATTCAAGCCAGCGTCTCGCCTCCTTCGGGGCATCAAGAAGACCGGCCAGATCGGGGCCTACGCCGGCATCGCGGTCGGCGTCACTGCCGGCGTGGTGGTGGTCACGCCCATCGCTCTTGGTGCGCTCCCCCAGCTCCATTCCTGCAGCGACGATTTATCAAGCCTGATGCCTGATTTCGTCTCCCACCGCGCCCCTCACCAGCCGTGGGCATCCCGACCTTGGCCATCGGACTTCCCATCTACGGCGCCTACAAGATCGTGTCCTAGCGGCCATCTGCATGGCCTTATTTGGTGTGGAACAAAGAAGGGAATTAGACAAAAAAAAGAGGGAGTGAACGGAGGCACCTATGAGAAGGTCTGCAGCAACGAGGGCCAGATTGGCCCGCTTGGTACATTTTCTGCTGAAGCCATGGACGCAGTACCGCGCACACGGCGCAGAGAATCGGTGTTTTGCGAGGGACGGATGCCGTCGGTGGGCTCAGTAAGTGTCCTAATCTAAACTGTGGTCATCTAGCGAGGGACGGATGGCCGAGCGGTCTAAGGCGACAGTTTAAGGCACTGTTATCTTCGGATGCGTGGGTTCAAATCCCACTCCGTTCACTCCTATCTTTTGTCGTTGTGCGAACCTTGCAAAATAACAAAACCTTGTGCTCCTGTCCATCTGGAGTGGTTTTAGTGAACAGCGTGGAGAAAGAACTTATCCCCTGGTAGCTGCCGCGGCAGTGGAGCTCGAAGAAGGAAAGAACGTCATTGAGCATTACCTAAATCTATGGCCAACTTCAGGAATGTAGAAATCCCCTGAGTAGTTTTTGTCACCTGCAACAAATCCCCTGTGGTGTAGTTGGCTAGCATTTCCGCCTGTCACGCGGACGACCCGGGTTCAAATCCCGGCGGGGGAGATCGATTTTTTTTGCTGTCTGTCCGCCTTGCACAACAAAGCCTTTGCCTACTGTTGGTGGTTGTGGACAAGAAGACCCAAACCAGAAGTCTTACCATTTCCATAACCCTGCGGCAGGTGGTGCAGTGACTTTCAACCTCATGACCCTGGTTGTGTTTATCAGTTGCACTGATGGTCTACTTCACTTTTACAGAAAGTCAAAGCAAGACAGGCAAAAAGAATTGGAGGAGAAGGGTATCGATCCCTTTACCTCTCGCATGCTAAGCGAGCGCTCTACCATCTGAGCTACACCCCCGACACTTGGCCCTCAAGCTCCAGCAAATAGAATGGCGCACCCTCTTCAATTGGTACCACAGGTGCTTGTGCAAGCAAAAAAGGAGATAGCTGACTGTGGGGCTTTTCTGGGGCCAAAAGTTTGCTACAGTAGTTTTATTCTGTGGAGCTGTTTTATTGACCACACAGCAAACCAGGATTTATCTATCCAAAACCAAGTGTTCATGAAAAAGGGTCAGTGACCCTTTTTGCTTAGCACAAAAATCAACTCTATGTACAAAAAAGGCCACCATGGCTGTTTTTCATGAGGTTGGTGTACAGATCAAGGAAAGCTTGGGTATCATTTTCAGAAAATGTACAGAAGTGGAGGATGCCATTGAAGAAGAAATGACAAAGGCAGAATCCCTTTTTATGTACAGATTTACCATCTGACACGCATCGGATTGCAATTTCGCCGAAATATGTGCATTTTTAAAGGTCTTTTCTTGCATTTTCTACACATTTTCCGTTCACATTTCTCAGATCATGTGCATTGAACTGGCCGAAGTGTACTGATGACACCAATCTGTTTCTGGAGGGTGTGCAGATGCTGGTGTTACAGCCCTGACAATCTGTACATGCTGCCAGATAGTTAGTGAAAAAGAGTCACTAACCCTTTTTTGTGAACACTTGGTTCTAACCTTCTCCTCCAATGTCCTTTTTTGGGGACCATCCTTTCTTGGGGGGACATGATCTTGACCCATCATCCAAACTTGTTTTTTTAATTTTCTTTTTTGCAGGGAAGAAAGCAACCCACTACATCACCAGCCCTGCCCAACCAGCAATAGCAGCTCCATGCCAAGCACTGCCAAGGCCAGCCCCTGGCCAGGCAGATCAAAGTGCTCAGTGTGGAGAAAGTCCACTGAGAAGGGGAACCCTTCTCTCAGCTTACACATGGCTGGTACTGACACATGCTTTCCCAGGAACAGTCAGGTTGAAAAGCTCAGCTGGCTCTTCTTGTCCCACAGGCCACGCGAAGCCGTCCTAGCTCAGTCGGTAGAGCGCAAGACTCTTAATCTTGTGGTCGTGGGTTCGAGCCCCACGGTCGGCTATCACTTTTTTGCTTCTTTTTTCCGCCCAGATCAGTACTTCTGCTTGGCGAAGAGGCGTGCTTGCCGGTTGCGCTGCTTGATCCAGATCTGGACGGCGATGCCAACGAAGCAGAGCACGCCGCCAACGACGTGGTTGATGGTCGCAACCTTGGAGAAGATGAAGAAAGAGAAGACGATCGACATGAACTTGCGGAAGCACGTTACCTGTGTGACAAATTTGATGACGTCAGTCGTCAGTCTCCTCTTCGTCATCGTCAACTACGCTCCAAGAGTTGCTTCTCGCGTACCATGGCAGAAATGAGAGCGTCGCTAAGCTTGAGCACGTACAGCACGGACAGCGACGCAAGATAGCCGATGAGGTACATGGCCTGGAGGAGCGGCACAAAAACGAAACAAAAGAAAGACAACGAGAAAGAAGGGTGAGAGGGAATTTTGGTGTGTGGGGGGGGGCTGCCGAGTCGCCGCCACCGGCCCCAATGATGGGCGTACGATGAGGGCGATATGTGCGCGCAGGCTGAAGGTCTCGTAGACCGCCGCGAGCTCGCCGGTGAAAATGAGAATCGGGATCGCGCACAGGCAGCCCGAGAGGTTGGAATATAGTGCCTAAAACCACACACACGCACGCACACACGCACACGCACGCACCAATCATGTCAAGCACACAGACGCACACAGACGCAGGCACGGGCACGTACCACTTCGAGGGTGGAAGCGCTGTGCGACGACATCAGGTGCTCCTGAATGGACGACTTGAGCGCGTCTGAAAAGGCGTCACCGCCGGCCAGCACGACACCTGCGGACCGCCCAGCACAAAACGTTTCGTGTGAGCGGTTGTGTGCTTGTGTGTGTGTGTGTGTGTGTGTGGTGTGTGTGTGTGTCGTGTGTGTCGTGTGTTGAAACAACGCACCGAGGACATTGAACGAAGTGGAGACCGAGGCATCGCCCAACGAAAACAGCGAGAGCCCAGTAACCAGCATGAACACCGCCGTGTACTCGCCCGCCGTATATGACCTATCCAACACACGTGGTGTGTGCGTGTGTGTGCGTGTGTGCGTGTGCGCTTGTAAGTCTTTACTGAAGGTATAGAGTGCGTAGTAGTCGGGCTGGGTGGCAACGCACTTCTTGAGGTAGAGCAGGCCCACGAGCATGGTGGGAATGAGCTTGGAGGACTGGAACAGGACCCGGGTGGTGAAGTCGATGTAGTGGAGGCTAGCCACGCCCATGAACCGGCCCATGAACACCACCGACGACAGCACCACATAGTCACGAAACGGACCCCTGCAGTCGTCGTCGTCGTCGTCGTGGTACCAAGAGTAGTCAACGGTCAGCTCAGCTCATCAGCTCAGCTTCGCGGGAGGCAGGCGTACCGTCGGCCGCGATCGCCCGAGGATCGCCGCATGGTATAGGCGAAGAGCGAGTAGAGCCCGCCTTGCCATACCGTCGCGTACCACCTGCAAGAGCAATAAATCAATAAAAATATGAAAAAAATAAAAACGAGTAGCGGACGAGGTCGCACCGATGAGGGAACTTCTCAACGGAGAAGAGCAACTCCTGCAGATGGTGTGTGGTGGGCACCCAAAGGCAGGGGTTGGTACTGCAAAAGGGCAGAAGATGGGGTGAAGTGCACGGCTGGCGAGTTCGTACCTGAGCGTAGGTGTAGGCGCCCTGGAGGAATATCACCAGGAGCACGCACACCACGAATTGTGCTCCCAGGGGCAGGAATCGCAGAAAGGCCACCCCCTCGTAGTGCCCCTCCGGCCTCTTCTTCTGCTGCTGTGGCACCCCAGAGACCGTGGACTCCATCTTTCTCCGTCTTCTTTTCTTTCTATTTTTTTGATTCTTTTCTTGTTTCTTTTGACACCACCGAGGCGTGACGTCAGCATCACTTGCGCTGGTGGAGGGCTTCGACCTGCAGCAGGTGGAGCACGGCCTCCCAGAGGTTGCGGATCTCGCCGACCAGCAGGCGAAGCGCGAACAGGACGGTCTGGAAGGTGAGCACGTCGTAGTTGGAGATCGGCAGCACGTCCAGCTTCTTGAACTGTTTCCCAATCTACACACGCGCGTGCGCACGAATCAACATCGCACCGCACATGGCACACACACCACCGCACTCGCCTACGCACACACACACCACACACACCACCGCACTCGCCTACGCACACGACGTACCAGTCGGTTGAGGGTCTTCTTCATCTCCTGTTCGAGGTGCTGGACGGTGAGGGACATGCGCAGGGGCGTTGACGACGAAGAAGCGGCCGGGACTTCTTCGCCCGCTCCTGCGCCCGCGCCGGCCGGGCCGGCGGACAGGTGGATGCCCAGCGTCGTCGAGAAGTGGGACATGCGGGCGTCGAAATGTCGGATCCGTCGCACCAGCTCGTCCAGCATCATCACCACCTGGTCGCCCGCGGTTAGCACTGACATACGCTCTACGCATTTCGCGGAACGATGACGATGATGACGACGACGACGATGAGAAGAGAGGGTGCGCGTGCCTGTGAGTGGATTTGCTCGAGGTGCTCGTGGAGCGGCTGGATGAGGTATTGGGCGAGTTGGCTGCCCTCCTTCCAACCCCAGTACAGAGCTCGGTCCATCAATGTCTGCGAGCGGTCGGGGAGTGGTTGGCACGCGCAGCACGCACACGACACGACCAACGACACGCAACGAGCGCGGGTTGAGGGGAGTAGTGGTACGATGTGCTGAGACAGGCTCCGGGAAGAGGTGATGATGCGGTCGAAGATGTCAAATGGGAAAGTGGGCCGCCACAACCGCGGTTCGTCGCGCGCCTCCTGAATGAGCACTGACTGCATCTCCCACGCCTTCTTCATGTCGAGCTGATGCATGTCGTGTCGTGTCGTGTCTTAGGGTCAGGCTGGCAACTCCACCTTCCCAGCGCCAAGGCCACAGCTATCCGCACCTCCATTCGTTTGATGTGGAACAACGGAACGCAATAGTCACGTTCAATGAACCCCTTCATCATGTGATCAAAGCAGCCACGGAGTGCCTGACGCCCTGACGTCAGGACACTACGCCCGTGTGTCGTGCCGTGTGTTGGTCGTGTCGTGTCGTTGGTCGTGTCGATCGTGTCGGTGCAATCGTACCAGGAGGGTGCGTGCGGTGGATCGGTTGCGCAGAAGCACGGCTGCGCGCACGGGCCACACTATGCTGATACCCATCGCCACCAGCTGACCGATGAGCGTGGCCTGGATGCGGTACAGGGCCAGCTGCTGCAGGCCCAGCGTCGTGGCCAGCGGCCCCGACCCTCGAAACACGATCAACGGAGCCTAGGCGAATCCGCGGGTGAACGTAAGTCAGCACTCACGGCACGCGCTGCCACGGCACACGACACACGCCACACGCCACACGACACGCGACACGCGACACGCGACACGCGACACGACACACGACACACAACGAAATTAAATACCGAAATGGTGATGATCAGGCCCAGGCCGCCCCAAGTCTTGCTCGAGCGCGAGTAGCCGGCGACAAACACCCAGCCGGCGAGGAGCGCGGCGATGACGTACGGCGAACCGGCGGCGATCAACGCGATCAAGTACCCTGCGCACACCACCAGCGCAGGATTGGAAGAAGTGTTTAGTTTTAAAAGAAAGAAAAGAACTAACGCGTCAAACGGCAGGTACCGATGATGGACCCAATCGTCGTTCCTGCACATATCCGGTATATAAATAAAAATCAGCTAATCTTTTTCTTTTTTTATCTAATAATTAGCTAATACTTTTAGAAGAAATTAAATGAAAGAATGGAGCGATTGTTGTATTTACCGTAAACGCGAAAGCCGGTGGCTTTGAGGGTGGAGCCCTGGCGAGCGCCTCGCTCGACGCTCAGCACGACGGCAAGCGGAGCCCAGAGGCCGAAGGGGAAGATGGACTGCAGGCTGGGAATGAACACCAGCAGGCCGGCCACCGTTACGATGAGGGCCAGCTGCACCGAGCCTGTCACACGCGACTGACCGGGGTCAGCCAGCACACGACACGCCGCACACACCGCCCACGAGAACCAAGAGCTTTGTCAAATGCAACACGCACACACAACACACACGATGGGCCGGCGTACACTAAACAGCCATTGGTTCCATTCGGCGAATCGTTTGCGACGGGATGGCGCCGTGTCTCTTATGAACGTGAACACGCGCCACGGCATCTTCACCAACCGCAGCAACGTCTCTTCGCGTTGTGGGCGTGTTGAGTGGTGCATTGGTGTTGGGCCTCTAGTGAGGTTGTGTGGGGGAGGGAATGGGGTTATGGGTAGCGACGTACTTGCGCCGCTGACGATGGGGGCGATGAACTCGGCATAGATAAACTGTCGCAAGTATTCCCGCGGGTCTCTGCCAAGTTGTTGTTGGTGATGGTGGTGGTGGTGGTGGTGGTGGTGGTGAAATATAGACTATGAGGAATGTCTGACCTGGAGTACCAGCGAAACTGGACGGTGTGCAGCTGGGACGACTGGCGCAGGAAGGTCTGCAGGCCGAACATGAAGCAGTGGATCGGGATCACGTCGTCAAGGGACCACCCTCGATTCTCCGCCTTGGTGCCAGCTGCCGCGGCAGAACCACCGCCCAAGAGTGAGCCCCCGAGCTGACTCGATTGCCCTGCTCGGGCTGGACTGTTGGGCGGAGAAAAAGGCGGCGCATACCGGACCAGATGACGTCGTGCCGAAACTGCCGATGGGTCTGGTCAATACATCGACTGACCTCCGCCACCTTCCTCCGGGCCTGCTCCACTTGCTCCTCCTCTGCCGAAGCACAGCGGGGGGCTGTGACGTCAGCACCAACCTTACCAAGCCAAACTCACGAGGAATTTTGACGTAGTAATAATTCTAAATTTAATTTAGAAGTAGCATAATTATTACTAAATAATTAAAATGAATAAGAATAAGAGTAAAAGATACCCTGGTGCAGCTTCGACCGCAAGGATCGGAGGTGCCCGGAGGCCTCCACCGTCACCTGCTCGAGCGGCACGGCCATCTGGGCGAAAAAATCATGAGTGTCGACAGCGAGTCAGTTCACCAGCCATGGCTCTGAACGCGGTGATGCCATGAGCTCATGGGCCTCTCATTCGTACCACGAATGGCCGGGTGAAGAAGTTGTAGAGCGGAGACAGCTTGCTGGCCTTCCACTGCAGACCCGGGGCAGTGCCGAGGAGGTAGGTCTGCATCGCGACCGTGCTCCGTCTGAGCGGCTCCCCCGAGTAGGTCAGATGCGGACCGTAGAGCTTGTTGTTGTATCTGCAGCCGCCACGCGAATCAGATAGGTCGCACGTGCGCGCGTGCGGTGTGTGCTAAGTGTGCGGCGTGCGCGCATGAAGTGGTATTTACTTGATGTTATCGAGGCCGAGATGCATGGCGGTGGCTGCTTCGGCGAGGCTCTGGAGTGCCGCCAGATACTGCTTGGCCGCGTCTCTGAAACCCCAAGAGTGTTGGGCTCAGGTGAGCGCCTGGAAGAGAACGAAAAGACAGAAGAGGAAAAAAAGAACGAAGGCACGCGAGAGGTACGCACTCGGTGGCAAAGAAGTGTTCCCACTTGGCCGCGTCGGCGAGTTGGGCGGTCGCCGCGATGTTTCTCCGCAGCGCCTTGAGGAACAGCTCGGCCCGTATCCGCAACCGCGTGCGCTTCTGGTCCTTCCGCGGGCTCGTCGTATACACGCCCACCATCAGCTCGATCAACTTGCTGAGCACCTGGCGATCGATCAGCGTGAGGTGCGCCGCGATCTTAGCAGACGAGGCGAGGCGAGGCGTGGGCGCACAGTAGTACCAGCATGTTGGTTTGGATGGCGCGGGCGAACTGGAGCGTGGCGATCGAGGGAAGGGGCAGGAGCGACGCTGCGAGAGCGCAGCCGATCCCAAGCACGACCGAGAGCAACCCGATCAATGGGTAGTACCTGCAGCGAGTGGGAGGGACCAGGTGGTGAGATGTTGCCAAACCCAGATCTGTAAAGGGCGACAGTCGCACGAACCATGTCACGTCGGGGCGGCTCAGATACAACTGAATCAAATCCAGGTCGAGTTCGAGGTGTTCAGAAAAGAGGTATTGTGAACACAATCAATGAAGAGGCATCATGCTCGTACCAAGATCATGACTGTGTTGACCAGCAATGCGAACTTATGCCATATAGGTGGCTGCAGCAGAGATTGGAAAGATCAGTGATCACAGTGGTAACAGCGCAACAGCGCAACATTGGCATGTGTGCCGAGTGTGCGCGTGCCATGCGTGCCGTGTGTGTCGTGCCATGCGTCGTGTACCTTTTCGAGATAGGACAAGATCATGGTGGAGAGAAACAGTGCGACAGCGGCGAGGGCGTAGTACGCGCCTCGGTCGACATCGGACAGCGGTAGGAGAGCATTGGAAATCCCAAGCGATACGAAGGCACCCGCCGTCCCTCCCCTGCCACGTCAACAAGTTCACACGCACGGCCCACACCACAGTCAGCTCGCTGGCTGGCTGGCGCAACGACACTGCTTACTGAGGGCCGACATGGAGGAGATCATTCAGGTGGGTACCGCACAGCATAAACGCCGGTCTGGAGAGTACGCCCGAAGTCGGGCGCAGTGGCCAGGATGCCGATGATGGCCACCAGGAACGCCACAACTACACGATGGCACACGACACGACACACGCGGATGAATAGACGAAGAATGCACAGGAGGAAAAGGGAAGAGGCGTACAGCCAAAGAAGGTTGAGGTGGCGGGGTAGAGGGCGAAGAAGGTGGCGATGATGGCAGCCACGGTCATACGAAACGACCAACCGAACGCGTTCACAAAGTCAGACGAAAGGTGCGGCACAAGAGCGTCGAGAGTCGAGGGTCGGTCGGTTGGCGGCAGCCACCGCCGTCGAAGAGACTCGTAGACGTTGGACTCTTGGCCCACTGTGAAATCTTCCATCGTGGTATCCACCTCGAAGTAGCGCTCTACATCGTCAGCGTCTGGTTCATTTTCATCCTCTATTGTGTCATTTTCGCGATCTTCATCGTCTGTGGCACCTCCGCTCCATCTCCGCCCTCGCGACGTGAGCCCCTCTTCCTTTCCCTCTGGCTCGCCTTCTTCCAGGTCTGGCGGCCTCGAATTAGATTCTAATCGTTCCTCGCTGGCAGATCTGCTGCTCGTTTCTTCTTCTTCCATAGGCTTGTGGATCTTGAAGCCCACCTCTTGCGACCGATTGGCCTTCACCTTTGGTTGATTTGATTGCTTTTGGCCTCATTGACTTTTCAGTTGCATCCAGGGGCAACAAGATCGCAGGAGGATGAGAAACCATTTGAAGCAACCATCAACCACCCCTGGCTCTACATTTCCACCACCATCGCCATCACCACGAGGCGTCCCGCTTGGCCGCACGCCCTTGCGCGTTGGCACGCGCCTGGTAGCGCGATCGTCGGTCTCGCCGCTGCTGGCGCTCTAACTCGCGCTTGCGCTGCTTGGCCGATGATGGTGATGAAGATGAAGACGACGATCGGCCGTAGTTCGGGCGCGACTTGCCCGGCCGCGGGCCGTTGATGAGCTTCGTGCGGAATCCCTTCGTCTCGTACTCCTCGTACTCGCTCATGTCCACCCCGTGGAGCACCTCGAAGTACCGTCGCTTCCAGCACACCTCCTCTTCCTCCTCTTCCTCTTGTCTGTTGTTGTTGCTGCTGCTGCCACCATCTTCATCTTCGTCTTCGTCTTGTCTCATCGCGATCTGGAGCAGCTTGAGGTACTCCTGGCGCCTGGCCTCCTTCTTGTCGCTCTGCTGCTGCCGGGCCTTGGAGTCGTCGAGCTGGCGGTGGGACACGAACAGCCGACGCCAGAAGGGCTGGTTGGCCTCCGACGTCACCTCGTGCCAGGCGCGGCACACCAGCCGCGTGGCGAGCAGGTGCTGCAGCTCGTCGCCCGGGAGCCACGTGAAGATCATCTCCATCACCTCCAGCGGCAGCCGCTCCCAGTCCGAGTGCCGCCCGTGCTCCCAGACCTCGAGCCAGGCCCTGAACTCGGCCGCCGCGGCCTCGGCTCGCCTCGACGACTCCTTGTCTGATGGCGACGCGGCCCGGGCGGCGCGCCAGGCTTCGACCAGCCGCTGGCAGTTGGTCACATGGGCGGGTGGCGAGGCGTCGAGCGCGAAGTCAGGCCCGAAGGCCCAGCGCACGGCCTCGAACAGCTCGCCGGGCGCGTACTCGTTCTCCTCCTTGATCCCGTGGCGTGATGACGTACGAAGCTTGCGCAGGATTGACATGAGCTGCTCGATTCGTTCGTCTTCTTCACGTTGTTGTTTTGGTGGTGGTTGATGTTGATGTTGTTCTACTCGAGCAGGACCTGGACTTGCCACCTTCTTCTTTTCTTCTTCTTCATCTTCCTTCTCGGGCTTCTTTCCTCGTCGTCTCCTGCTCCCCTTGGTGCTATCCTGCGAGTGGGTGGTAGGCAGGGCGGCGTGATAGTGCTGGCCTGGCTTTGTTGTGTGAGCGTTTGTGTTCTTGTTCTTCTTCTTCAGGGGTTTAATAGTCAGGCCGAGTTGTTGCGAGAGCAGCAGGGAGCGCGCATAGGCAGCGTCCCGCTCATACCGTGCCGCCTCCTCCTCTTCCTCTTGCTGTAGCCTTCGTGCCAATGCCTCGTCGCTCTCCATCTTCTTGTCGTGTTTGCTTCGGTTCCCCTCGGTGTGCACATTTTCTTTTTTCTTTTCCCTGAAACCTCCCTTTTACGCTCCTTTTCTGCGGATACGTCGTCCAATGAGTATTGCCGATTTTATTGGCTTACCCAATCCGGTGAGCCCGCTCTAGGGGGTGGTGGATCCGGCGGGGCAGGCGCAGTCGGTGCAGGAGATGGTGTCGATCGTGGTGGGACCCTTGAAGTCGATGGTGCCCTGCTGGCAGCCGACGTCGCTGCCGGCCGTTGAGTCCTCGACGGCCACCAGCTGGGTGGTGATCTGAGCGCGGAAGGCGAAGAATCCGGCGCCGCCCTCTGCGGCGCTGTTCTTTTCCATCGACATCTGCGACACGCTGGCCGAGCCGCTCTCGACGTAGAGCACGCCGCCGCGCTGGGCCGAGTTGGACTCGGCGTGCATCTTGGACAGGGTCACGCTCGCGTAGCGCACCAAGAAGGCGCCGCCGTTGCCGTCGGTGCGGCGGCAGTTGGTGATGATAAGGCCGTAGAAGTCGGCGCTGCCGCCGTTGACCGTGAAGCCGGGCAGGCCAGCGCAGTCCAGGTACACGATACCAAAGGCCTGGGCGCTGTTGTCCTAAACATGTAAGGGCCACTTACTGAGAGGTATGTGTGAGGCGCAGGAGGTCGCACGAGATGAGGAAGTTGCCGTTGGACAGGGTGACGTCAGCATTGCCTTCGCCGGTGTAGGTGCCAGCCAGGAGCGACACGATGCCGCCGCCGCTGGGGAGGAGGGCCACGCCCTCGGCTATGGTGGCCACGGGGCAGGTCGAGGTGCCGTTGCAAGCGCCGCCGCACTGAGCGAGATCACACCCACCCGGCTTGGTGGTGACCACTGGTCGGTCCGACTGCGCCAGAGCCGCTAGCACGCAGAGACTGAAGACCAAGAGACAGCTGAGGAGGAATGTTGGCTTCATGATGGCGGAGGAGTGGAAGAGAAGGTGTCGTGTGCAGCGGTAGGTGAGGCGAGGTGGGTTGTGTTGGTTTAGACTGTAGGCTTGTTGGTGTGGTTAATGGATGTCTGAGCGGTTGCAAGCTTGGGCTTTTATGCTGGAGAGAGCCTGGACTGCTCCACCAACCAGCAGCAAGTATCAGAAACCTGATGTTATATGGAGGTGGCAGGTGCAGGGGGATTTCGATGAGGTTTTTTTCGCAATGGTTGCAAGCTCGCCCGCAACATTCTGGCTGTGGAACAATACGTTGGGGTTCGAGTCTCAATGCAAGGGGTGTGGCGTTGGTAGTAGACTCACACGCTGTTGTTTGCTGCTTGTTTGGTGTTGTTCTTCACAACAAGGCAGTGTAATGATTAATTTATTTATTGAATTTAAATAGGGGAGATGAGAAGAGGAGGGAAGGGAAGCACTTAGGAGCTGAAGTAGTAGCGGAGGACGAAGCCGACGGCGATGATGAGAAGAGGCACGGCAGCCTGCTTCCACACGGCGGGGGCGGGGGCAGCCACCTTGGGCTTGGGTGCCTTGGTGTCGGCCAGCGACACCTTAGGCTGCACGGGAGCCTTCTCGGACTTGACGGGGGCACCGTCGGCCGTCTGCACCAACGTTCCCAGGCCACAGGTAAGCAGGGGATGTGTAGCGCATGAAGAGCAAGATGATGATGATGATGAAAATTGGCGAGCAATGCGAGAGGTAAAGAGTAAACGAAAAGGGAAACGTACGACGAGGTCGCCAATGTAGAACTGCTCAAGGGTGGCCCTAGCCTCGTCAGAGTGGCCCACAGCCTCGAACTCGCCGGTGCAGTCAAGGCCTGAATGAATGAAAGAAAGAAAATTCAGCCATCAAATTACAACATGTACAACAAGTTGATCGATCCCATTGGGACAACCAACCCGGACCCGAAGGGCAAAACCAAACGCGATGCAGGGAAGGTTATTTACCGGCATTGTCAACGAGGACGCCATCACCACCAGGGTGCTCCTCGAGGAAGGGAGTGATGTTATAGACTCGGCCTTGGATGGCAATCCAGATATCCTCCGTGGTGTTGTGCTTCTTCAGCTCCTCGAGCGTGTAGGTCTTCGCGGGGGCGGCCATTGTTCGTTATGTAAAGATTATAATCTAATCGGAAGATTACTTACGATCAGTTTTTTCCAGCACCTCCAATCCATTATATCGCGCCACCCTCCTCCCTTGCAATCTTTGGCGAAGATCATCATGCTGGGAACAGACACGTACCTGTCGGGGAGGGAACACAACACAAATCTTCTTTCAGTTGTAAAAAGGATTTTAAAAATCATTTATGAAAACTCCGAACGGAAAGGGCCGAGTGGCGAAAAAGGCGGGAAGTTCTCCCGTTGGCTTGTCTGAGCGAAGTTTGGCTGGGCCTTGGCGGCACTTTCGCGTTTCGACCTCCGAGCAACACAACAGCAAGCGACCTCAACCGCTGCTCCAGACCACACGTTCGCTTACTCGGCGGCCAGCACCTCCTTCGAGTGTGCGACCATCTCCTCCAGCACCTCGGGGCTCAGTTCCAAACACTCGTCCTTGCCGTGAAAGTTCGGATCAGAGAACCTGCATTGCGTGGAGTTGATGCGTTATGTCAGCCAACGTTACACGTTTACACGCACACGCACAGCGAACCTGGTAAAGTAGCCATGCTCATCGGCTTGGCTCTTCCACCAATTCTCGATCTTGGTGGTGGTCTCGAGCTTGCCGCGCAAGCTCAGCAGCAGCTCCATCTTGTAGTCCTTCCGCTCCTTCGCCGGGTAGCGCTTCCACGCGTCCAGGTGCTGTTTGAACATTCCGATGTAAGCCGTCACGCGTTGAACGGGCAAACGATTTGTGTGCGCTGAGCTGATGCAGCGCTAAAGTGCAATGAACTTACCTGGGTTCGCCCGAACTTGATGAGCTTCTTCTTCGTCTTCGGGTCAATGATGGAGAACACGTAGAGGGTGTTGGGCACGTGTCGCGTCCACTCCAAACGAGGATCCTCAAACCGGTCTTCGTTGTTTCTGTTATGTTGTTGCACATGCCCGCCCAGCCACAGCCGGGTTAGCCCGAGTCGGTTCAGCAGAGAAGAGAGAGAGAGCAGTTTGGGTACCTGTGGTGGAGCACGCATGACGGGCAGTAGTAGTCGTCCGCCAGAGCCTGGGCCGGCGATGGCTTCCACTCCCTCGCGCACTCGCCATCATTGCATCTGCGCACCACCTTCATCAGCACAGCACACGTACGACACGACACACACGCATTTCACCGCACACTCACGCGTGCCACTGCACACAATACAAGACAGGGAGGGAGCTAAGGCGAACCGATGGAGGATGCCCTTGGACATGCCTGTCCACGAGCCCACGCGAACGAAGCGGCCCTGCTTCTCGGAGAGCAGGAAGGCGTCGTACTCCTCGACGGAGGCAAAGGACGCGCGTTTCGCGGTCCCCGGCGACGCCGAGCCCTTGGCATTTCGGCTCGTCTTCGGGGTTAGGTTCACCTCGTCGTCTTCTTTTTCTTCTTCTTTGTCCTCGTCGTCTTTCTTTGTCTTCTTCGTCGCCGCCCTCCTTCCTGGACTGCTCCTCTTCCTCTTTGGCGTACCCATTTCCCCATCTTCTTCCTCATTTTCGTCTTCGTTCTCTTCTTCCTTGGCCTTGCCGAGGGCACCGAGACTTCGCACGGTGGTCATCTTCTTGGTGGTCGCCCCCGGGCTGCCGGTACCGGCCACCACTGTCGCCCCCGACTCTTGCAGGCATCGCGCGCCGCACTGCACCAGGTGAAACGCCGCCTCGATCTGAACCGCCGACAGCACGCCTCCACACAGCGGACACGACATGCTCTTCTTCTTGCAAAAACTACTATTTAAATTAAATAATTTTTCCCTGTCGCCGTGTCCGTTGCCGCAGTGAAGGAAGTGCTTCGTTGGCGGCAGAAAAAAAAACTATGGTGTGGCAGGGCTATTCATGCCGCCATCAGTGAAAAATTTCGAGGAAATTAATTCAGCGGTGAACGATCAAAAAAATAAGCGAGGAATGCAGGCGCACATTCCAGGGGCTAATTCATTTTACCAAAGCAACTTGTGTTATTACACGCGGCCACCTCCAACACGGAACACGCGTACCCACAGCACGGGGTGGTGGGTTTGAACACTTGACGCGTACTCGCCGGCGGCTCTCTGTGTTCAGGGTGAAGAGGTCGTGCGACACATCGATATGAGGAGGGAGGATTAAAGAGATCTGGTTTCAATCCCCATCCATTCAACCATTCGAGATCGATCGATCGATTGACAACCGTGCCAGAACAAACAAAGATGTATGGGGTGAGAATGGACGAGGCCACCGAGCTGAAGCTCCTGGAGGAGATGCTGCTCGTGGGCAAGGACGACGGCATACATCTCGACGACGTCGAGGTTTCAACAATAGGTACTCTCCATTCATTACAATTCACATCAATTTTGTCATTTTCATTTTTAACGATTTAATTCTGCGCTGGCATCTTCTAAAGGGACGAAGTTTGAACCTCGTTTTCCTGTTCCTCTCACATGCAATGTAGAGCCCATTCGAGATTTTACATAAATTCATAGCTCGGCTACGCGACGTGGCAAATACAAAATGCTGACTGGTTCCATCTCTCCAACGCGCAGACTACGAGTCGGCGCTGCAAGTTGTGGCGGCGGCCTTCCATTCAGAGAGCCGCTCCTTCCCTCTCATCGCTAACCGCGGCGCCCCTTCCTCCTTCAAAGGTACCTTTCACCCAAATAACAAAAATAAAAAAATATAAAAATTGTTTATTTGTTTTCCATTTCAATTTTATTTATTCATTTATTTCCATGGCGCGCGTGTTGGTGGTAACTGGGAAACCCAGGCCGGGCAGCCGTGGACTGGATGGTGGACCACTTCCTGTTGAAGAAGCGCGGCGAGGCCGTCTTCATCGGACAGACCCTCATGGACCGCCAGATCGTCAAGCTGAGGTGCGCTACAATGAAAAAAGAACTCATCGTCATCGTCAGCCACTCACCACTGCCACCTCCCCTTGACTGCGCAGACCGAAGAAGACTCTGCTGGACGACCTGATCAGCGCCAACAAGGACAGCAAGGCCAAGGACAGCAGTCGAGGCGAGGCCGAGGTCGAGATCGGCGTATTCGCCGACGCCGATGACAAGCACTACATGTTTCAAAAGGGTACTGCATGTCGTGTATGTCGTGTTGCGTGCGTGTCGTGTCGTGTGTCGTGTTGCGTGCGTGTCGTGTCGTGTCGTGTCGTGTGTCGTGAATGTGTCTCACATGAGTGTCGCCGGTACAGCTCCGTTGATGATGGAGAACTACATCCGCAAGCACCTGCCCATCTCGGTGGCGCAGCTGCTCAAGGACTACCCGCCACCACCGCGCGCCGGCGCAACTTCGCCGCCGCCGGCCTCGTCCTCTTCATCATCCGCATCATCATCGCCGTTCCTCTCGCCGCGCGCACGGGCCGCCACCTCCTTCTCCCTGGCGGCGATGACGAGATCGTCGTCGTCCCGATCCTTCACCGAACTCCCGATCCCATCTTCTTCATCACCGTCACCGTCATCATCATCATCATCATCATTCTTCTTTTCCGGCAACAACATCATCACCGTCGACAGCGTCGACGTCAAAACCGTTCATTCGTCGACACGGTCGCTCGGCGTCGGTGACGCTCACCGGGTCGTCTCTGACGGTGCCGCTCAAGCACAACACCAACAACGGCGACTCGGCCTCGCCGCTGGCCTCGCCCACGGCCTCGCCGCGCAAGATCTCCAAGGCCCGGCGCGCCTCGCTGGTGCTCAAGGAGAAGTTCCTCATCTTCCGGGAGAACCGCCTCGACAAGAGCGACGGCGGCGGCCTCGACGACAAGGAGGAGTGGGAGCGCGGGGGCTACGGCGATGGCAGCCACACGCACCGCAACCAGCACAACAACAACAGCAACAACGACAGCAACAGCATTAATCATAGCAACAGCAGCAGCGACAGCGACAGCGATGAGTCGAGCAGCAGCGACGACTCGAGCGACACGAGCGAGGCCGCGTTGCCCGCGGCGGCGGCGGCAAAGAGCAGCAACCACGGCAGCGGCATGCTCTCCATTCCATCGGCCCGACGCCGCGCCTCGATGCTCTTCTCGCCGCTGCGACTGGGCAAAGATTCGTCGTCGTCGTCAAGTCTGGCCGTTTCAGAGGAGGCCAACCGGGACGTGGTGGTAAAGAAGGTGGTGGTGGCGCGTCGGCTGTTGGACGAGAACGGCGAGTGGAGCAGCGCGGCGGACGGCGAGCGCGAGTCGACGTCGACGTCCACATCGTCCAATTCGTCCTCCCCGCGCACCTCATCGTCGTCGACGACGACGTCGGCGTCGACATCGTCGCGCCCGGGCTCGCCGATCATGCCGCCGCCGTCGCCGCGCACCCAGCTGACCCTCGACAAGCTGCGCGAGGCGGCCGGCGCCAAGAAGGCGGGCGTACAGGGCCGCCTCCGGGGCAAGTCGAGCGCCGACCTGGTCAAGACCTCCAACCCGCTCTACGGCACGGCGGCGCTCGATCTCGAGGAAATGGTGCGCGAGCGCGAGGAGCGCAATCGCGAAAAGCACGAGCGGCGCGAGGCCCGGCGCGTCAGGCGCGAGGAGCGGCGCAGGCGGCGGGCGGAGAGGGCCGAGGCCGCAGCGGCCGCCGGGGTCGTCGTTAAGGAGGCGGCGCACGTCGACGAGGGCCGGTCGCGTGGTGGGTCATCCGAAGGCGACCACCCGTCGTCGTCACCGTCGACGTCGACATCGGCCTCGCCGGCCCGGTCGCCGCGGCCCAGGTCTCCCAATCGCGGCAGAACGAGTGCCGACAGAGATTCAATCACCTTCGCCGCCACTGTCGACAACGACGACGACGATCGTGCGGCGGCCGGCAGCGCTGGCGGCGGCGGCGGCGGGAAGCAGCGGCGTAGCAGCGACGGGATGATCCTGACGCTGCAGGGCCAGGCCAAGAAGAAGGCCAACAGCGTCGACAAAAAAGATACAAGACTGGACCAGGAGGCCGGCACCGATTCACCGATCAAGCCGGCGCGCCAGAGCCGGCTCCGGCGGGCCTCGTCGCTGCGGGTGAGCAGCGGGAACCTCCTCCTCGGCCGATCGTCATCGGACAAGAAGGAAAAAGAAAAAGAGAAGGAGAAGGAAAAGGACAAGATAAAGAAGATGACGGTGGTGGACAGCGGCGGCGGCGGCGGCGGCAGCAGCGTCAACAAGAAGGAGGACGACAAGCGGCACCGGCGAAAAGGCGGCAGCTTCATCAAGCCCCGCGCGAGCCGAGATGAGCTCGACACCGTGGTCGGCGGCGGCGGCGGCGGCAAGCAGTCGCCCGAGCAGCACCCGCGGTCGGCGGTGGTGCGGGAACTGGCGGCGGATGTGGACTCTATGGCGGCCGACAAGTCGAAGCGCAAGCGAAACCTGACGCCGCACTCGGTGGCGCTGCCGTTGGCCCAGCGGATGAGCGTCGGTGTGCGGAGCCGGTCGGCGACGCTCGACGTCGTGGACTCGTCGGACGAGGGCGAGGGCGGCGCGGCACCGCCAGCGAGCAACACGTCGCCAGGGGTGGCGAAGAAAGCGGCGACATCAACGATGACAACGACAGGAGGTGATTGATTATGGCCGAAGCCAAAAGAAAACAAAAAATGAAAGCGAAAACGAAAGCGAGGGCGAGATCGTCGATGGTCATTAAGAGCAGTGGAATGCACGGAATGTGGAACATTTTTCGACTTTTGGTAGGTGGGCCGAGCCAATGGCGGACTTCATAGTGGCCACCGTCGCCAGTCACTTTCGCTCGCCGATTTCTCACTTCTCGGCCACCGATCCTGGCCTCACGACGGGCAACAAAAGACGAGAGCTTGCCCTCCTCTTCATTCACTAAACCAACACAGAACCAACAGCACACCACATCGAGACATGAAACGCAGCTCGGCTGATAAGAACGACGACGAGCCACGAACGGTCATTATCACCGGCGCCAGCCAAGGCCTCGGCCTCCAGTGCGCGCTCAACGTGGCCCAGGCCCACCCGCGGTGGCACCTGGTGCTTGCCTGTCGGGCGCCGCTCGAGAAGGCCGACGCCGCGGCCGAGAGTGTCCGACAGCGCACCGGCCACCTCCACGTCGAGGTGGTCGAGCTCGACCTGGCCTCGCTCCAGTCTGTCCGCCACTTCGCCGCCGGCATCGCCCAGCGGCTCGCCGCCTGGGGCGACGACTACCACAGCGCAGAGGCGCTGCCGCCCTTGGCCTCTCTGGTCTGCAACGCAGGTCTTCAGGTCATCAACCCCGCCGTGTCCAAGGACGGCTTCGAGTTGACCTTTGGTAAGTCCACCAGCCACCACAATTTAAAACTACCAAATGTCCAACATACTAACATGTTGTTAAAAAAATATGTGCTGCAGCCACCAACCATCTGGGCCACTTCCTATTGGTCAACATGTTGCTGAGGAGCATACTGGTGGACTCGGCCCAGCGGGGCACGGAGGCGCCGGTGCTGCGCATCGTGTCGGTGGCCAGCGGCACGCACGACCCGGCCAAGAAGACCGGCATGCCCCACCCGCGCTACATCAAGGCCGACTGGCTGGCCCACCCCGAGCGCGACACTGAAGACACCAAAAAAGACGGGCGCTGCACCTACACGTACATCCACCACCACCACCACCGCACACAGCCACCGCACACAACTAACAACCGCACGCACGGACACTTCACACACCGCACACACAACAATAACAGAACGAGCAAGCTATGCAACGTGCTGTTCACGTACGAGCTGGCGCGAAGGCTCAAGGCCTGCGGGTGGGAGGACCGGGTGCATGTCACGGCCTACGATCCGGGGTTCATGCCCGGCACGGGCCTGGCTCGCGACTACCCGGCCGCCCTGCGCTGGATCTTCGTCAACGCGCTGCCCTGGGCCTCGGTTTTCCTGTCGCGCATGGAGACGCCGG